CTTGCCGATCAGAAGCCTAGGACTTGCCGATCAGAAGGTCAGCAGTTCGAATCCCCGTGACAGGGTGAGCTCCTGTTGCTCGGTCCCTGCTCCTGCCAACCTAGCAGTTCGAAAGCACGTCAAAGTGCAAGTAGATAAATAGGTACCGCTCCGGCGGGAAGGTAAACGGCGTTTCCGTGCGCTGCTCTGGTTCGCCAAAAGTGGCTTAGTCATGCTGGCCACATGACCCGGAAGCTGTACACCTGCTCCCTCGGCCAATAAAGCGAGATGAGCGCCGCAACCCGAGTCATCCGCGATGGATCTAATGGTCAGGGTTCCCTTTACTTTAACACCAAACAGAGCATCCATTTCTTGAGCACCTTGCCAAAATGGGGGTCATCTGCCACTGGGTGATAATCATTTATAATCATGGGTCCAGTGAGGTCTTCCTTAAGGAGAATTCTTTGGGGGAAGGCATGTACATTAAATGTAATATGTATGCAGCCCATGTCTTTTCAGATGGTCTGTTGGCAACCAATCTGTTGCCTTTTGCATAATTATCAAGAATTCTTTTGAGTGACTACTAGATGAAAATAACATAGTTCTGGTCTTTGTTCATTGTGTCGAAGAAGGCATTAGTAGCCATGATTGCCCCCTAAAGTGTGCTGATTTTGTGGGATGGCTTTTAATGGGTAGGACAGGATATATTAACTGCAATTTATCCCTCCAGGCACCCATGTGTGTGGGTTGAACAGAGTTTCAAAATTCCATCCTTGGAAACAAAATTAAAAACATAGGAATTAGGTTGTAAAACCTTGTTTTGAGCAAGTCCAGCTATGAATTAAGCTGGCTTCTGCCTTCTTACCCCACTTCACAAAGAATCAAACAACAGCCTGGGAAGTAAGTGTAAAAATATGACTTACTTACTTACTTATAATCTTACATTGCTCCACAGCCATGACAGCAGTAAAAACCATGCAGGTAAAATACTTATATTTACAGTGTAACAAACTTCAGGCATGTGCCTAAAGCTGGAGCAAGTCTACATCCAGTGCTGGTCAAAGGAAGAGAGAGAGGAACAGGAAGTACTATACAGTGGTACCTCTGGTTGCGAACGGGATCCGTTCTGGAGGCCTGTTTACAACGTGAAAAGGCCGCAACCTGAAGTGCCATATCTGCACAAGTGCACGGTGCGATTTGGCGTTTGTGCACATGCGTGAAGCACGATTTAGTGCTACTGTGCATGCACGAGTGGCGAAACCCGGAAGTAACCCTTTCCGGTACTTCCAGGTTGCTGCGGGACGCAACCTGAAAAAACGTAACATGAAGCAAACGTAACGTGAGGTATGACTGTACGCTCCTTCCTCTCCAGAAGAGGAGGGGAAATTACATCACACGGAGCCCTCTATGCCAACTGGATTTCTATGGTCTGAATACCTGCCTATCAGAAATACAGCTCTGTGGACTTAGATCCTTCTCATGCTAACTAGCAAGTATATAAATTTGTTAGGTTTGGCTGCTAATCTCCCGCAGATTTTTATGCTACCCCTATAAATTGGTATATATTAATAAAGAGTGCCTTTTTTTAGGAAATAGTTTCGGACATAATTTTGTTAATGCTGGTTAACATGCTTTGCTCATCTATTTATATAATGAACACCCCCCCAAGGTAACTAATTTTTTTAATCCTGGACAGATTTTTTCCCCAAATCAATTTTAATTATAACAGCTTTCTTGTTTGAAAAACATTTAAAAAACACCACCACAGGCAAATTTTGCCAGCCGAAAGAAAGAAACAACTTCTCATTTCCTAGTAGGATAATAGGAGCAGAGCAGCGGAGGTGTGGATTTCATGATCAGAGCAAGCTGTGTTTTATTCAGAATTTTAACCACAACGTTCAAAATGTGTTCTTTAACCACATGGAAACGATGGCATGGTGAACAGCTTGTAGGAGGGAGATTGTGAGGTAGGATTAGAAAGGGATGGGGGTGAAATTCAGGAGAAACAGCCTCTCCTTATATAAGTTGACTACTGCAGAGCTCTGATTTTATATTTTGCTACTCATATATAAAGCAGAAACAATACAGAAATTTTCTGTTTCCCCACCATTCCCCAGAAAAGAATGAACGAGAAGAACAACTGGATGGGTGGGAAAGCATGACATTTAGTACCTTTATGGGGCAGAAATTACTGTAAGAGCAGGAGGGAATATTCCTACAGTGGATGGAAAAAAAATATGAAAAAAATGTGGGTTCTTTACTCATGGCTTAATTATTTTTTTTTAAAAAAGTATTAAAAGGACAGAGAGGGCAGTGTACCATAAAACACTTCCCATCCAAAGTCTTGCAGTAATTATATTTGTAATATATCTAATATAGTGACTTCTAACTGGGAAAGTAAGATCCAACCCCAGTGGATTTAGGAAGTTCTGTGAATAAATGATAAGAACTATGCATGATTTGCCCCCTCTTTTGAGATCAAGAAGGGATGCTCCATTTGTGTGTGGCAGAATCTTCTCAATGGAAGCCTAACTCATAAGAAATGAGAACCAGAAAAAGCAGTCAAGTCCAAACAGAGTATAGAACATGGGTCGGCAAACTAAGGCCCGGGGGCTGGATCCGGCCCACGGACGGTCTGGGAATCGCCGCATGGATCGGCGTGGGGATTCTGATTGTTCGGGCTGCGCCATTTCTTCCCCCCTCTCCCTCACACACACCGCGGCGGCGGCACCTCCTCCCTCCCTCCTTCTGGCTTCTCCCTGCCCTGCCTAGAGAAGGAAGGGGGCTGGACTTTGTTGAGCCGCGGTTGGCTGAGTGCCATTTTAAGCAGCCCCTCTCCAGAGCCAGCCCTTTTGCACTGCTCATCATCCCACCACCGCCAGCCCCTGCCGCTCGCAAGGCACAGGTAAGCAGCCACTGGGGCTCATCCAGTGCTGTGGGGAAGGGAGAGGAAAGTCTTGGGGGGATTCCCCCCCAAAATATAGTCCAGCCCCCCACAAGGTCTGAGGGACAGTGGACTGGCCCCCTGCGGAAAAGGTTTGCTGACCCCTGGACTACAGAATATAAGGTTTCTGGAAGTATTCCCTCTACACTCATAGCTGCAGAGTATACTTCTGTTCAGCATAGCCATCTTTCCTAGAATCTATTCTGGGCACCATGTGCTTCATTGTTTGACAATGGCAAACTATAAATTAAACAAACAAGCATACTTATATTAACCTGAGGCTTGCTGATAGAACAACTTGACACTGTTTCTGGGGAAGACAATTCACCTACTATAGGACTTGTTTAACCAGCAAATTACTTTATTTTAAACTCTAGAGTAGGTATATTGTGGAACACTGAAGAACACAGATCATATCACATTACTGTGAGATTATATAATTGTGATAACACAAGGATTTTGCATCTACCTTTTTGCTGGGCATTTCTGATTACCATCTTTTTCAAAATGGACAACTTCGGGCCATGCAAAATGACCTGAATAATATTCTGCTTTACTCTGTTTTGTTGGGGGAATACCCAACCTGAAACATTGCAGAGCCTTATGGCATGCTTCTTAATCATTAGGTAGAGTGAGGAGGTCACAGAGGTGCTGGAAGCCATCCATCCAGACTGTGCCCCCTAAGCTAGTCTCTGCCCTCAGGAAGATGTTGTCTTGTTGCTAATGTTGAAAAAAGTTTCAAATGCCAATCTGATCAGCTTCTGTACCTGGAATGCAGGGAAGGGATCTTGTCCATTGCCCGAGGCAGCAAAATGTCTCAGGTCAGCCATGCCCAAGAAAATAGACAGCTGTCAGCAAGCAGCTACCTTAACTCACACAGCACAAACTAGAGAAACAAGGTTAGCAGTATAAGGCATGAAAGCCAAATTTAGCTTCCTAAAGTTTCCTCCTCAGTGGGCTGATTCACCATGGGCTGATTCACTTCAGTCTCATGGTGAAAAGAGGAAAAAGCTGGGATAATCTGAATGTACAGGCCTTGTCTTGCTTAAATTCCTCCTACCAGAAGAGGGAAGCTGATCATCCTGAACATTTGTCTCTAGGGTCAAGGGTACAACAGTTTTTTAAAAAGTATTTTTTAAAGTGCTTCTGCCTGCAGCCTACGTTAAACCTAAAATGTGAAGTGCTAATTTTATTCATTTATAAAACGAGCTCAAGTGGATCCTTTGAGGCAGCTTACAGTCACAAATTGAAAACATAATGCAGCCATCTACAAACATAACAGAGCAACAGAGGGGAAGATTAAACCATTTCAAAAAGCTATGGAGGGGGTTGTCCACCAGGTCTTTCAAGGTAGGAAATTCTACAGCCTGAGCACTGCAAAGGCCTCTATCAACTGCTAAGGCATCTATGCTGATTCCCAGGCAACTGCAGTGCATGGCAAAGCCTTGGACAAATGATAACAGTATAAAAACGCAAACACAATTGAACCAACCTGTATATCATTTATGTGACTTATCAAGGAGCTGTGATTTGATGTAACCAACCTGGGTGCACATACACAACATTTACTATAACACCCAAGGAAGAGGTAATTTTTAGGGGTGGTATGCTGCTGTCTAACAGGCCTAGAATACATAGGATTAGGTCTAATTTCACATTCCTTACTCATGCTAAGTTCTGCTAGAATAATAGTAGAAATGGTATTGAAGGGTTTCAGAATGTGGCAGACCCCACTCCCTACCTCTGCAAGGTATTATGACACCTAGTCTGAAATATACTGAAACGTACAGTATTGGTAAGCAGGCATACCAGCACATAGTTGGAACACCATAGTTGATACCTCCTACTCACATGGGCGTAGCCAGGACTTTGGGGGGGGGCAGAACTGACGTGATTGGTCAGTTTGTTAAATATTTCTACTGTTTTACTTGATCTAGGGGGGCAGCTCCCCCCCCGCCCCCTCTTGGCTATGCCCATGCCTACTCAATCCCTATTTGCTAGTGCAGAAATGTTATGGAATTGGTCATAGTTTGAATTTCACTATTGTTAGTAATGGTTCTTTCTTAAAATGTCTCACTTGAGAGTGGTGAGTTCTGTAAGCGATGGCTGGGTGGCCTTGAGATAACTCTCCCTTCGTGCAGCAATCTTTGGAGATGGCTTTGGGCTCGTGTCAGAGTCCCCACTGTCTTCATCCCCCATGGCTTTGATGTAGCTGCCACTACGCATTCGCCGGCATGGGATCTCATCATCTTTGCCATGTGGAGTATACCCAGACCATTCATCTTGAGGAACCTGTAATACAAACAAAATGCAATGCTTTAAAAAAATTCCTCCATATAATATATATGGATTTTTTAAAATTTTGAAATAAAGTTAAAAATACAGGCAACAAAAAGGAAGAGCACACCTAACAGTATATCAAGTTAACTAATTTAGGGGAGAAAGAGAATTGACTACAGCTCTTAATATATCATGAGGGAGCTTGTGCAGCATTTAGAACAAAACTAAAGAGAAGCACACAAAATGTGGAGTATTCACTTGTATAAATAATGTAGCCAAATAATATTAAGGGGAAAATGTACATATAAGCAGTTGTATATCATTGGAAAATGATCAAATGCTTGAAGTGCCTTCTCATAGGAAATAAACAAAAACAAACCAGAAACCCTTGCATTGTAACATCTTTAAAAACTGAGAGCAAGTTTATTTATATTCCTCTACTGCTCTTTAGAAGGTTGTTTGGGAGTCCTCTAATTGTGTGCTCTACATGACTGCTGTTGTAAACAATTGCTTCAGAAGGTCTTTATGCAGGAATCCCATGTCATTAGATCCAAAATGATGAAGAAGCATAGTTTTATTAGAAATTAAAGGGAATATGGAGAAATTCCTCCCGGTAAAAAACAACCATGCACTGTTGGACATTCCCACCAAAAGTGAAAGTACGAACCTATCTATCCACATACCCTTCCAACAATACTGATGGTAGTTATATATATTGGATGAAGCCTTGCAGGGCTAATGTAGCATGTACTGACAACCTTGTACTGCTCTTCCTTTGTATTTTTATTGATTGACATGGCTGCAAAATAGGTCCAGATACAACACCAACCATCTTATTCCAAAGATTCACTCAAGTCATTTCCCTATGCTCCCACATAGGATGGATTGTCATCTGCAAACAGCATTTGGAGGGTATTATAAATAGATTATGTCAGAGCTTTAGCTGAAGAAACAGCAGCTTCTGGGAAGGATTCAAAAGAAGTGAGTGGGTGCTTCGTTGCCTGCTGGATACGAGTCTAGCTAAGAAAGTGACGTAATTGCAGGTACTGCTACAAAGACAGAGAAAATTGGCTTAGCTTTTCTCAAGACCTGTATAGGAGAGATTTCCCTTTATCCAATAAATCAAACAATCCTTATCCTCTCACAACTATTCAAGTGTGACGCACTTGGAGACTGTTGTGTGCTGCACGGGATGATGCAGAACTGACATTAGCAGAGATAATTCCTCTTCTTTCTCGGTTTATCACAAAATTCGGTCATATTGAAAGAAGAGCTACTCTGTATGCAAGAGGAGTGCTTGCAAAATATAGGCCCAGTTTGCAAATAGTGCTAAACCAAACCATGGCTTAACACAAATGAGCAAATGTGTGGGTGCTTCCTCCAGTCCTGCTGTTGCTATGTCTGGGTCTATGCCACAGTTTGGCTCAACGGTTTGGCTCGACTCCTTATGGGGTCTTCTCTGCGAGATCACATTCATCCGGTACTATACCAGCTGCACTGGCTCCCGGTGGAGTACAGGATCAGGTTTAAGGTGCTGGTTTTAACCTTTAAAGCCCTATACGGCCTAGGACCCTCGTACCTACGGGACCGCCTCTCCTGGTATGCCCCACAGAGAAACCTACGGTCTGCAAATAATAACATCCCCAAGGTCCCAGGCCTCAGAGAGGTTAGGCTGGCCTCAACTAGAGCCAGCGCCTTCTCGGCTGCGGCTCCAATCTGGTGGAATGCTCTGTCACAAGAGACTAGGGCCCTGCGGGACCTGACATCTTTCCGCAGGGCCTGCAAGACAGAGCTGTTCCACCAGGCCTTTGGTCAGGGCGCAGCCTGACTCCCTCCTCTGGCAACCTGCACAGAACTTTGCCTAATCGGTTGCCATCAATTTGAATTTAATTAATTTTATAATGAAATATTTTTAGAATGTGTGATTATTTGACTGTTTGATTATTTGGTTGTTGTTAGCTGCCCTGAGCCCGGCTTCGGCTGGGGAGGGCGGGATATAAATAAAATTTATTATTATTATTATTATTAACGTCATGTCAAAACCAGGGCTCATGAGCCAGGCAGCACTGGGTAGCACAGTGGCAGGGGTATGGGAACGTGCTGCAGCAGCAATCCTAAGGCTAGGAATCTACATGTTTGCTCATTTGTGCTAAGCCATGGTTTGGCTTATAGGACAGAGGTGCCTGGCGTGCTCTGGTCCATGGGGTCACGAAGAGTCGGACACCACTAAACGACTAAACAACAACAACATGGTTTGGCTTAGTGTTACCTGTAAACTGTAAATGTTACAGTTCTAGATGCACTCAAAAAACTCTAGACTGTTCCTTGGAATTATAGAACATGCAATTCTTATACAATATGACTCTCCAATGCATGTGTGGAAGATTTCCTTAAAAAACAAAAGAATTGAGTAGCCGCAGCTTTCATTGGCCTGTTCTTACATGGAGACTTATAATGCTTCTTACACAAAATAGTTAATTTATAAAAATTTGGTTAAGCAGATAAGATATGAAGATTCTAGTAATCCAAAAGCTACATCAGTCTGGCATTCTAATATCTTAGCTGCTGCTTCTATAAGCCAGGAACCACTTCACAATCTTGGAGAGGCTATGGAGAGGCAATGGGATGCTCCCTTGCAGCTGTAGCCATCACCACCTCCATTGTCAGGGAGAAGCGCCGGCTCATCCTCCTGCTGAACTCAGCATCAGCGGCGCTGGTGGAGGAAACAGGGACATTCCTGGATCAAATCAGAAGCTGGGATGGCTTTTGTAACTCCGGGACTGTCCCTGAAAAATCAGGACACTTGGAGGGTATGCATTTCTTTCTTCTCACACGTTTTCAGCTTACAAGGCAACTTAAGCAAACTCATGGTAGTTCACAAAGGAAATATGCTACTTCATCTCTTGATCAGAGGGCAGGAGAAAGGTAAGCAAAGAAGTCCTTGTGCCAATCAACATTCAGTCACTTCTGCAGCAACTGTGCTAACCCTTTGAGACAACATTAGACTATTTATCCGTTGTTGTTTACTTTTCCAAGAATCCTAAAATGAGCAGCAGTAGAAACACCGAGACATCTTTGTTTCCTCTAACTTGAATTTTACCGTTATCTGATGTACACTGCTGGGATTAAAGCAACAACACGTGCAATAAACTACCTGAAGAAGGGGTGGGGGAAGACAGACAGAAAGGAAACCTGTTTTTCCTCCTCTCTGATTCCTTCTCCTTCAGGAACTACTTGTTGGTAAAGTAGATTACCTCCTTTCAGGCTTTTACTTCCTTATGTTATATGCACATTAATGCTTTTAAAAACCTGTACCAAACCTCTCAAATGCTATGGTATTCTTTCATTATTAGTAAAGCTGGGTTTGTTTTAAATTTAGCAAAAAGATAGGATCATAGAGTTGGAAGGGATTTTAAGGATAATCTAGTCCAACCCCCTGCAATGTAAGAATACGCAGCTGTCCCATACAGGGATCAAACTTGCAACTTTGGCATCATCATCAGCATGCTCTAACCAACTGAGCTATCCATATTTAGCCTTTAAGTTTTAGTTATGTCTCAAGAACAACAGATGAAGTCTAAGAAAGGCAGAGGGCCTTCTTGGTTGTCGCGCCCGCCCTATAGAACACCCTCCCGTCAGATTTCAAGGAAATAAATAACTCTCTGACTTTTAGAAGACTTCTGAAGGCAGCCCTGTTCAGAGAAGTTTTTAATGTTTGATGTCGTATTGTGTTTTAATTTGTTGGAAGCTGCCCAGAGTAGCTGGGGGAACCCAGTTAGATGAGTGGCATATAAATGATTAATGATGATGATGATGATGGTGGTGATGATGATGATGATGATGATGATGATAATAATAATAATAATAAGAAGAAGAAGAAGAAGAAGAAGAAGAAGTCCAAGCTTCAGTAGCTGCATGGCAACCAGGACAAAACAATTACATTTGTGTCTTTGTCTCAATAGTTTTGCTTGCGGGGGCCTCAAAAGCAGGTTTGGCTTAGCAGACAAGCAATGTCAGAATTCTGGATTTTAGGCATATGCAAAGGCAGGATGTTATCATGCACATGAAGAGGAAAATATTGAGACAAACTTGGGTTTGGGCTATATTACTTTCACAACCCAGTGGCATTCTAGAGCCTGTGCTATAGGACAGTGCTTCACCATCCCATGTGCATAAAAAGGTAGATCTGTCTCAGTACCAATTTGGAGAAGGCAATTTATGTGGAGAAGCCAACTGAGGAGAAGCCCTAGCAGAACCGAGAAGACCAAGAAAACCAATTGGAAATGGATTACAATTCAAAAAAAGATTTCATTTCAGAGAAGATTTATTTGCAGTTTTCACTGTCCTCCCTATTTTTGCTTGTTACAGGATCCCTAGCCTGGGTCCTTGGTCTGTGTTCTTATATGAGTATACATTTTGTGTGTGTACTCTATGAAGAAAGGTCTATTGGTAGGATTCTTCCTTCATTCCAATTTTGATTCCTCATTTCCAGGGTTATTAATTAGGGAGATAACACCCTTGCTGTAACATTTGGTCAGTAAATAAAGCTTTGAATCCTTGTTTCTTGTCTGGCATTCTTGCTTTCCCTTTTTGCAAAGAAAGGATCCTGCGCTAAGTGTCCCAAACCTGGTCAACCTAGGCATACATAGCAAGGCTGTTGTTTAAAGTTCACAACCCAATTCCACTACAAACTGGGTCTGTAACAGCATGTGCTAGTAGTGTTAACCTATTGGCTCCATCTTGGCCATAGGTAAAACCTATGGCTGTGTCTGTCATGAGATACCTTGCCTTTTTATCCTTTCAACCAGAAGTCACACCAGACTGTTTCTATACACTGCTGCAATTTATTTACCAAACTCCAACATACACAGTAGCTACCTGGACCAAATGTGGACCATTCCAAAATAAAGCAGAGAGTATGGAGAGCAAGGGATGGGATTTATTTGTAGACAGCTCTCAGTTTCAGTTGGTTTTGAAAAAGTCCTGAGGGCAAAATTATGAAACCAAAGGTT